TGCCGGTCACAGGTGCTGGCGAAACGTTAGGAAACAAAACTTCCAGAACACAGCCACACAGCCCGGAAGGCCCACACCAGCCAAAACTTCCTGGGTTCATCCAGATAGTCTCCAGGAGTCAAGACTGACTCAAATGCATCCCCCCCCCCAAAAACCCCTCTTAATATAAGCTCAGAGATACACCAAGTTCAGTAAAAATTACATAACCTTGAATGAACACAATGCTTTGATAGGGAGAAAACAAATTATGTAACAAATTACTATTTCAAGTAATCTTAATAAGCTATGATATCCCCCTCCTTTTCTTAAGCAAACCATACTTACTGTTCCAATTTTTCAACCTTTAGAATCTATGTATAGCTTTAAAGGAGAAAAACAAAGAAAAATTATCTTAACAGTGGAACAAATCAAGGATCAACCTTATGCTTTGGTCATCTGGGGAGATGCAGCAGCCCAGTGCCTTCAGCTGCAAAGGAAAAAAGGTAAAAAGTCATTAAATGTTTTAAAATAACTGTAGCTACGTGCATTGCTGTATCACATTGCCGTACTGTGGCAAGGAACAAGTAATGCAGGGTTATCTTCCCTTGCCCCTTTTCCTTCCTGCTTTAACACAAATGAACTTTTCACCATCTGGTGAGTCTGTGTCTGTCCTTCTCCTGAACAGCCTGATTTCCCTCATTTTGCAACCTATGTTTGGTTAGTTGATTGCTCAAGTGTTTCTTCTTGGAGTAAAACCAACTTCAGCTTCCTCGTGTAATATCAGTTCATTCTATTACCAGCAACATCCATAATGATCTCTACCGTGCACCTATATTTCAGAGATGGTTTATTTACTGCATTTAGAACCTGCAGGCCAGGGCAAATTAATGGGGGATCTCCCCAGTTTTATTCCCACAACAAGAGAATGTCTGGTCTAAGGTCTCCCAGGTAGCTCCATGGTCAAGTGGAAACTTAAACCTGGGTCTCTCTGTTAAAAGTCCAACATCTTAACCATGACACTTCACTAGTTTCCATAGAGGCACCCTTTATTGTATCATAATTGATATACTAAGATGTGTGATAAGCAGCTGTTTCTAGCACTTTCCAATGTTGACAACTCCCAGAATTTTAAGTAATGGCCGAAATGGCTGGGATTTTATTTTAATTATTTAGTTGTTTTATTTCATTAAATTTATTATAGCCATCCACTCCAACAAACTCTGGATTCTTGGGTTCATGCCAGTAGATCACAATGTAGCCAAGATTGAGATACATTGGTCTAGCCACTTAATTGGGACTGAGGGCCATAATATTGCTTCTTCCACTGCTTTAGTTATCCCCCCAAGAATGAGATTGCCTCGAACATCCCAATCTGTGTAGAAACTGTGTGTATACTCAAAATATGAGAGATACTATTTTCACAAATAGCAAAATACTAGTTCGTATATTATTGTGTAAAATAATGTTTTAAGATGGGTTAAGTTGTCAAAGTTGACATCTCCTTTACAGTATTATCGGTTATTTTACCTCTGAAAGTAGAGTGTTTTGTCCAAAGCTTCAGTGATGTTAATGCTTTTCTTATTCTTCTTCACAGATCATATTTGGGAATTTAGATATCTCTTTGTAAAACACAGTCCTGTCTCTGGTGACTTGGAATTGCACACCACACCTTGGTCGGTCCTAGAATGCCTTTTTGATGATGATAGAAGAGCTCTTGCCTTCAAAGAGAAGTTTGAAAGGAACGTCGAAGAGTTGATGAAGATGTCCACCCTTGCTGCCCATCTAGAAGAGAAGTGTTCTGGTGAGATCCTTATTCCTGTTTCAGGAAGAAGGTGTCTTGTGTCTTAATATAACTCCTATCCTTTTCCCTTCCAAAGAGTTTGAGGCAAAGCGTTGCAACTCAGAATAAAACAGGACCATTGGCATGCAAACTTTTTGCCTGCATTAATTCTGTTTAATTAAAAAGCTCTTTGACAGAGTTTATAAGTGACAGGGAACTGCATGGATATGATCTCTCATCAAGAACATCACCCTCTGCGCTCTGACCTGACCCAGCAATGGTATAATCAGGAAAAACCTGTTACATACCTGAGCATAAGTCCAGCGTGGTTTTCCTATGAGTCTGCACGGACGAGCAGATACCGTTGATCTTAAATTTCACTGGGCTACAAGTCACGCTGATCCAGATAGCATTCTTTTTAGTTACTATTTTCTTGCCTCAGAAAAAGTGACATAATTCCTCTACCAATTCTTGTGGTTTTCATAGGAATAATCCAAGTGAAGGCCTCCATTTCAAAGTTGAACTTTATGAATGCTTCCTTATCATGTGGGCAGCGTGTTTTTGATGCTGATACTTCGCTGCAACACATATTTGCCTCTCTTCCTCTGATCACCTACATGGGATGTGCGAAATGTGGCCATGAACTGCAGGCAGATGATAACGAGATCTACAAGCAATGCCTTACCTGCTTACCTTTTAACAAAGTCAAAATATTCTACAGGTAAACAAAAAAGGAGAAGAACAGAAAGAAACTCAAATCAGTAAAGTTGGTAGCAGCTTCTCATTTATGTTCCTAATGTTCTCTGTAGTTACATTACATATTTTTTTAAAGAAACTCCTTTGTAGCAAAACAGCCCTGTTTTGAAGGTGAAGTAAATTACATTCACTATCTGAATGGATTGAGGGGTTGAAGGCTTTCTGTCCTGTTGTTTTTTCTGCCTCTGTGGGGGTGGACAATAGTGAACGGAGGCTATTTTGTTATCCATGGATAAATGGATTCGTCTTACACATGCAGGAGTCTTTGAACATTGCTATAGGCTTGGGCAAAGATATCCTATTGTACTTCAAAGGAAAAGGAAAGTTTTAGTCCTTCTGATGCTTGTGGAATTGCTAGGAAAGGCTCTGGAAGCAAGGAGGGAGCAGGAAGGAGCTTGGTAGAGTAGTAAATACAATAATTATTTTAAGTGGCATATAAAACACAGGCCTGCCCATCATATCTGGAGTCCTCTCTGGGCCTTCAAACCTGGATTGCATCAAAGGATCACCGAGAGATTCCAGTCTAGTTCTAGGTTATGCAACAAATTTTGAGAGTCACTGAAGACCTAACTTGAAACCAAAATAGCTCCCACCCCATGATAGTCCAGGTAGATTCATGAATCATTTAAGTCCTGACACACGGTTAGCCAAGTGTGCAGAAAGCTAGACAGTTCCTCTTTTCATCCTTCTTGGGGGAGGGGAAGGAAAAGCTTGGTGTGAGGAGCAAGAGTGATGTCTTTCCAAGACCTTAATTTTCTCCCAATCTTTCTCTCCCCCACCCCCCCCAAAAAAAACCCTGAAAAACTGTGAAGCCAACTGAAGGACAGCCTTGACCACACCTAGCTTGGTTGAAAAGGTCTTATTTTGGACCTCTCACTTATAATTTTCACTTGTGTGGTTCTATGTACTGAAATTAGAAAGCTTTAAGTATACATCATGGAAGTCTTTGGGAAATCTAGACATTGTTAAAGTAAATACCCTGGATATTACATGGTTCGCTACACATTTGTCTTTGTGAGCCTCGGTGTCAGAAAAGCATACATCAATATATCAAGAGGATTCTAGATGCAAACTTGGAATGGAAACTTTTAAAAAAAGCTGTTGAAGCAGCTGCTGATTGAAAACTAGATATTACATCCTGTTTCTAGAAACCCATTATTTCACAATTAGTACAGAAAGCCTAGTTAGGAGGCAGCCATGTAGCTGATCTCAAAAAGCTAAACCTTATCAGACCTCATTAGTACTGCAAAGGAAATGCCACAAATGTGTCCATAAAGTCACCAGGAGTCAAGCTGGACCCAAAAGAGACTTTATCTACAGGAAGAGCAGCTTCCTGTTGGCTGACACCAGATGGCAGCAAGGGACAGTTTGTGGAGAAAAAGGAGTATCTTCTGTTATATCTGACTTCATATAATGATAATAGAAGTTGGAAAAGACAAATCAGTTTGAGGCCTTATTCTACAAAGCAGAGATGCAAAGATACCCTCACCTTACTCTGATCCCAAAGTTTTTGCTTTGGCTGTAGTCGTGTTTGCTGTGTTATGATCCCCAGCAATGTCTTGGAGGACATATGTGAACATCTGAATATCAGAAACTCTGAGTCACATATGGACAACCATATGCAGCCTTTGGATTCCCACCCCGAAATGGACAAGAAACAAAACTTGATTCTCACTATGCAGTGAAGTGAATGTTCAAACCAGCTTCCCGTTGCTTGCTACCTTCCCAGAGTGTTGGATTTCCACTTTCATAATCTGTAGTTAGCAGTCCAGTGCATCTGGTTGAGAAAGGCTAACATGAAAGGATCAAATTTATATTGTTCTTTCTCATAGCATGTGTTCTGCATGGTTGTAGGGTTGCTGCTTGTTTTTGCATCGAGCTACATAGAACTCAAGGCTGGTTTAAGCATCAACGCAAAAATAATATAAAAGTAGCAAAATCCTCACTTTTCCGGGTAGCCAAAAGCCATTTCAGCTCAAATTGCTCAGCATCCCTTCTGAGAAATGTTCTTGGCTTTTAATGCTTTGGAAGAATCCCATGATTATGGAGAAGCCCTAAAGGTGATTTCCCTTGTGTTTACACAGTTTGTATACGAAGGTGCTTGTTGGTGATAAGAACTCACAACCAGGCTGACGGCCCAGTCTGTGGCTGAAATGGGCCCAGGCCCATCTATGGGCCCTTTCTCACCAAAGCCATTTTAATCTCCCAGTAGCAGATTGAAGGTGATAATCTTTACTTCTGCCACTTTTGCCTGACTTTCTATGATTTCTAATCGCTGCTCCTAGGTTTGTTTGGTGGCCTTGTTACAAAATCATCGCATGTTACTATAAAAGTAAGCTATTCTTTGAGCCAGGAGTCACTATATGGATGTATCTATATAGCTTTCTTCGTAGTAATATGGAAGTAGCTTGCTCTCTTCAAGAGTTTTGCTATTGTGGCTGACTGCCCAGCCTAGCCTACAACACTAGTGGTGTCCTGTTTAAGTCCTAACTAGGTCTCCACTTTCCTGACTAGCCGAGGTTTGCTAGGTGCTTGTGTCTTCCTTGCAAGTGGGGTGGAGGGCAATATTTTTAATGAATATGATAGGTACGTTGCCTCTTGCTTCTCTGGCATGAAAGACTTTCTTAGCTCCCTAGTTTTGTGAAGGCTCTTGGACTTGTAAGAGGTGTTTCCATGCTTTCAGCAGACGCCTGCAGCGGGAAGGAATCGCCCTCTAAGAAAGAGAGCCGTTTCCAAGCAGAAGCCCTTAACTAGGGAATAAGGGCCATGTTAGAGCACTCCAAAGACTTGGAGAATTAAGGTAAGGCCCCTTTAGCCTCTGACTACAACCACAGCCCAAAAGAGGCTCCAGTCCTACATGTTCTGCTTGCCTCCCTTGTCTTCTGAGGCCCTCTTTGAAATATCCTGTGATTCTCTTGGAGAATATTCTTGAAATGTCATGAAATTGGTACAAGCAAAGCTTTTGCCTTATGAATTTCATATGAAATATTTTCCATTTTTTAGCTGCAACATATTAACGTAATGGAGGAGCTGCTCCCAGTGAAAACTCATGCTCAGGCTGCTTATTCTGTTCCCCCCCCCCCCCCCATATCAGTTTTCCATAGTTTGTTCATTTGTTTGCAGTTTTTAGGTTTAATGCCGTAGCTTGGGCCCGTTCTCTCCGCTTTTATTCATCTTCAGAAAACAATACTAATGCTCTTTTCAGTCTGCCTTTTTTCCTGAAGGGAAAAAGATGCCCAGTGGATCCTCTGGCTCCATATTCAGTCCCAACTATTTGGGCAATGGGATTTTGAGCCGAGGGCCTTTCTCTTAAACTTCCCACTCCTCCGGGGCTTCCAAAGTCAGGTGGGATCGCATGTGTTACGTGCGGGAGTCCAGCTTTTGCAACAAGCCTCCGTTGAGTTGAATCAGACGATGCTGCGCCAAGCTGAGTGTGGATTTTGTTTCTTTAACGCACTACCTTGCCTTCCTTCTCCAGGCATTCAAAGTAGGCAGCGGTGGGTAAAACCCAGCCATGGTTGTTGATGGTAATGAAACCAGGTGGATAATTATTATTATAGTAACGCTTGCCCGGCAAGTTTACGCCCTTAGTGTGCCGAGGGTGCTTTGGACTTTACAAAGACAGTGAAGGTTGGTGAAATTGTTTCTGGCAGCCTTATCAGGAGCTGATAAGGCTATAATTGGACACTGTTTTTATGTGTAAATAATTTAGTATAAACTAGCGAGTTGGCTTCTTTCGCTTTGAAATTGCCATTTAATTGTTGTTGATGAAAAGTGTTAGTGGGGGATTGGAAGGATTGCTCTGGTTGCCCCCGTAGTTCTGCTCACAGTAATTGCTTGCATGCAGAGACCGGGCTGATTAGGTGCCGCTCTGGACTTCAAAGTGGAAAATGTCCTTGAGTGGGGAAGTGCCAAGGGTTTGGCGGGCACAAGGGTAGCTGTGCAGGGGCTGCGATGTGTTTCTGAGCCAAGCGAAGGCCGGGATAGCTCACCTTGCTGCACATTTAGTTGTAGAAACGTGTGTTTGTGTGGTTTTCTCGTTCAGGGTGCAGTTCGTGTCTGGAATCTCCTCTCCCTTCTTCTGTTGCTTAAGATTCATTTACACATAAAGTGACTTGCAGGTTCTGTCTGTGGGGCAGCCAACCCTAATGTTACACTTCGGAAATCAACCCCAATAAATTGTTTGACTTCCTGCAGTACAGTAGTCAAGACGTTTCTATAGAAAGAAAGAAAAATGGCTACTATTTACTTTTAGGGGAGAGTCTGAAGTGCTGTATTGAATGAAGCACAGCCCAGGGTTGTCCACGGGGTGCCAAGATGGCAGCCACAACCATGTGATCAAAGCCCCACCCCTTTTTAATATAAATTGTATAACACACATCAAGGCAAGACTTTGATTATATGTTGTGGCTACCAGCTGGACTCTTCTGACCCTCCTGTGGACAATCCTGGGCACAGCCGTTCTTAATAGGGTGGGGTGAAGCCTTTGGAAATTCAGAAGGGATCCTCTGAACTTGCTGCTTGTTGTATCTTGGTTGCAACGGATGTGTCTTCTATGCATGCTCAGACAACATGGGAATTCTCACGGCAACAATGTTGTGTTTTTGGGTGGCGAGGGTACCCCAACAGTGGGTTCAGTGCCTGGACGCTTCACATATTCCTGCTTCTTAAAACCAGTTCGCCTCCAAGAGGATGTTTCAGTTGTAGGATAGAGGGCATGTTCAGCCCCTCCTTTCCAAGGTGCCCTGATAAAGACCTCCCTTATAAAGGCAGTGGCAAAGAAACCTTCAGCATATTTTGTGCTTATGACTTATAACAATCAGAAACAATCACACATGATCTAAAATTCAAGAAGGAAGTCACATTTCAGTACATGTCCTGGAGGTCTGGAAAAAATTGAAAGGGTACATATATTTTTTTGCAACTTCTCTGTAAACAAGACGTGAAAAAAGCAAGAGTCCATCTGATTTGCAGACCTTGAGTTCTCGTTGATCTGAGCTGGTAGAAGACTTCAAGGCAGACTTTTTAAAAATTAAACACAGTTCTTCATATATGTCTGATCTCCTACAGTTTAAAATATTTTCAACTAGACTCTGATTTTGAAACAAAATGGAAAATTACTGTTCTTAATCTCACATTTTCCTCTTGCTCAAATCTGGAAGATGCCAGTATTGCATCACTCTGGCATTTTCAGTTTTTTACAGATTCTCTTTTAAGATCTGTGGTGCTGATTTTTCATTCTTTTAAATGGAACCAAAGACTTGGAAAATAATGCCCTTGGTTTAATTGTTTAGAGGGATAATTAAGCTGCTTTTTAATGCCAGGTACTGTACACAATTACAGCAAGGCAAGGCATCTCCCTGCCTCGCAATACTGCACTCCTAGATAAACAATAATATGTAATTGTAGACAATTATATTCTTAAGTATCTTGTAATAGGAAATATCAAACCATTAAACTGAAGGGCTATTAAGATTTTTTTCCCCTTGTTTCCTCGTTTAGGCCTGCTGTGATGACTGTTGAGGATGGGGGATATGAAATCTCCATTCAGGTGGGATCCGAATTGATGGAGAGGATATTCCTTAATATTCCAGCAGAATGGCTGAAGAAGATCATAGGTAATACCCAGGGGATCGGTTGCATAACCTGGAGATTTTTTTGTTTGTAATCCCTTAACTCCTGGTTCATGAAGCGAAGAGAAATGACCCTTCCTTGGCCTCTGTTCCCTGATGACACTCCATCTTCAAAGGCTAAGACGCGTCTCACCCCAGCCTGGTGACCTCCAGCTGTGCCCTGCTGCTCGGGATGATGACAGCTGTCATCCAAGAGACCTGCAGGGTACCTGGCTAGGGAAGACGTGGTTGGTTGGTTGGTTGGTTGGTTGGTTGGTTGGAGTGATCCCCCGCCTTTCTTCCAGGAGCTCAAGGCAGTGCACATAATAGACCCTCTTCTGATCCCCCCCCCAACACCCATGTGGGGGAGCCTGGGCTGAGAGACAGGGCATGTCTTAGCGTTGCTGGCATCACCCAGTCACAACACCGGTTTTCATGATGTTTTATTGACACCAGTGAGGATTGGAGGATGCTACAGAATACTTGGCCAAGGCAGGATTTGAATCTGGGTCTTCTGGATCACAGGACAAAGCTTTCACCCCCACACCAGACCACCTCACAAAATGTGCTTCTTCTGTACGGAAGCGTGGACTGAAATGGGGTGCTAGCAAAGGGCATTATTAACTCCCTTTCTATAGGATTGTGTGATAGGAACCCCTGAGAGCAGTCGCACAGGCATTTTCTCAGCAGAAACGAGGAATTTGGAGTCAGAGTGGATAGGAGTTAGGAGTTAGCCTGGACCCCTCGCAGAATGCATTTCTCAATTCAAAATAGCAGGGGCAGTGATCTGTTAACATCCCATAAATACCCTAGGAATCAGAACAGGCTCCACATACGTTGTGCTCCTCCATCCCATAGCATAGCCAGGGAAAAGAGATTTCTCGGAGCCCCCAGACGGAAGGATTCTCACCTCCTCCTCCTCCTCCTCTTCTGTTGCAGAGCCTTCCTCCGATACCACGTACGGGATGATCGTGGCCGATCTGTGCCACTCCCTGATCACTGACCCAAAGGCAACCTATGTTCTAACCATCAGAAGCCGTTTCGTCCTGGATGAAAACAGTTTTCCTTTGGAGAAGGATTTCCAGCTCCTGAGTTTCCACCTCGATCTCGGAAGCAGCCATTTCTAAGGAGGTGGTTCAGTCCATTCCAAATCCACGTAATGATGTAAAACGGGGGTAAAGTGAATGTCCCTTTCTCCTGGAATGAATACATTTTATTTTCATGAATACTTTTTGTACATTTCAAGAACAATTATTTCTTCAGGATAGCTATTAAAAGCTGTTCAAGAAATGACTGATGTTTTCTTTGTTGGTCTTTTATCCTCAAGACCTCAATAATTTCCTGAAAGAGAGTTAATGGCGAAGGAATCTGAAAACTCCCACTGCCAACTTTTTAAAGTGTGTCGCCTAAGAAAACGCCTTTCCTTGCCGCACCCTTTTTTATCAACCCCAATTTTTGTCTTGATGTAATTGTACTGGTTTATCTCTCAGGAATCCCACTTTTCAAAGTAAATATTGACGTACTGAAAAGCAAGTATCCAAAATTGCAGAAAGAGGCTTTTCTCTTACAAATGGTGGCTTCAGCTGTGTTATCAAACTGTCGGCAAGAATTTCTACATTTGCGTAAAAACCCTTTACTTCCTGGAGGAGATGTGCCAAATTCAGTCAGCCTGCAAAGCAAACAAGTGCTTTAAAGAAGAAGAAGAAAAAAGTAGAGTTTAAATTATGCATCTGATTAAAATATACAAGAAAAAAAAATCTGTTTCTTAGGCTGATCCTCTGGGAAACAGGTTCAAATTCAAACTAAGTGCAGCCTTAAGTAAATTTAATAACTCTTTCCTCTTTTTGTGTAAGTTAAGAATTTTAGCTTAGTGGAGCCCAACCAAACCCCTTCTGATTTGTGGTGGGAAGCCTAGATCTTAAAACGTTGCTCTCATAAGGCACAGTGCTTCAGCAAGGGTTTTTTTTGGGGAGGAGGGGGTTCGCGAGTGTGGTGACCTTCCTTCATATACAGAACCAGCCCATTACTCAGCTGTCATTCAGTCCTGCAGATGTATTATTTTCTGTATTAGAAAAACCTCCCCACATTGCCAAAAAAGCTTTTATGCTTGCAACACATTTTACTGAAATACATTTTTTATCTGTTTGAAGTCTTACTAAGAGTAGCAGGCTACCGCATTCTGAACTGGCTCTGAGGTGCAAGTCTTGCAACAACCGCGGGAACAAGGAGAGAAATATCCATCCACAGGGATATAGTACGGATGCGCTGCACCAGCTCCAGATGTTGCCATGCTGCATCTCCCACAAGCCCTGTCAGCGGTGTGGGCGGCTGGGCACTTACTGGGCAATATCTGGAGGGCTGCAGGCCCCCCATCCCTGACCAAAGGCTTTTCTTCCCCCAGAGAGTTCAGAGTGGAAAGGCCCTTGGTGGCACAGCTCGCTCGAGTGGCTCTGCTGCTGCTTCAGCCAAGCCTGGAGCAAGCTGGAGAGGCCTTATCCGTGCAATCAGAAAAGCAATTGCTTGTCTCCTCTGAAGTATTTGCCTGGCAATTTTCACCACCTGAGTGGCTTCCTGCGTAGGTGAGGAATTTTTTTTTTTAACCTTCCTGGAGCTCCTTGTGCCCAGCTCAGTTGTGTGCTTTGAAAACTGTGAGGGATGGGCCTTTGAGAAGGTGCGTGCAGAAAGCAAGGCAGAACCTGGTACCAGAGCCTAAGGTCTCCTGGACGAGGTGCAACAATTGTTAGGGAAGGTGCACCAGTTTATTGTTTTCGAATGCCCTTTTATGTAAGATGAAACGTACAGCGCCCACTTGAGAGGGACAGGAGAAATGCCTTGTTTCTCAGGCTTTGCAATATTTATTTTAACAAAATACAATACATGACAGACCATCAAAAATACACATTATATGACTCCAAGACATTTCAAGTGATACCAAATACATGTTCTTTTGCAAAATAGCAGCCAACACAGAACACAGCACGGTGGTGGGTTCAGACGTGATGCTCAGTCTGCATTTGCTCGATCACGGTTTGTTAAGAAAAGCATAATCAGCTGGATTCACACATCACTCTAAGCGTGGTTTACAAAACATAGGAGTTTTCACGAGCTGAAACCACGTTACGGCTGCCAGCACTGTGGTGATCCTGGGCAAAGAAGGTTTGCAACCATGTGCCCCACCCTACAATAAAAGAGATGGTACTCTTCCAGCATTAGCCACAATGGTGTGTTGATGTGCATTGACACATTTGGATTATCTGCCAATCAGCATTTACAAGCTCATCTCTAATCATAGGGGCATGAACACTACAGCGTCGTCTACAGACCACAGTGCCTAGATTCCCACTGTGAGCTAAGCCCAAATGAAACAAATGGCGTTATTTCAGCACAATGTGTAAAGTCTTTGTTTTCCACTCAGTGAAGGACATGGCACTTTACCAGAACTCCTTTAACCATAAATGCAGTAAAGAGTAAAATCCTGTGCTTTTGCAAAACAGCACTGGACTCATTAATACTGTATCCTGTTCTGGAGAAAAGCTGTTCCTGTTTCAACTAATTTCCTGATTTTTTTTTTTTCCCCTTTGCTCAAGAGATGTTGAGCTAAGGAATAAATTAATAGCTGCAAAAGATCACGAGTTGACTCTCAGAAGAGTTTCTGAAATCATTTGATTTGTTTTCCTAAGTTTGTTTAAATAATGTACATGTTATTTGTGAACATAGCAAAGGATCACAAGTAGAATTTACTCGACTGAATCTCAGATAGAAAGGTGGGGTTTTGGGGTGGAGGAACCCTACTATGTGAACATTTTTGTATTTATGTACAGGTTTATAATTTGGTCTTCAAGAATCATGTAGTAGCTAAAACACTTGCCTTACTAATGCAGAATTTTGCCTAGCTAGCTGTTTCAGACCAGCACGAAAATAGGCGAAGTCTTCATGCAGCAGGAAACAATTCCAATAACACAGGGATTACAGCACTGGTTCCATAGATCAGTTTTCCTTGATTTCCCCATTGTTGTGTTTACTTGCCAGCTCTTTGCCAGATTAGGAGGCAAGTAATTAGTTAATTGTTGCTGAGGGTAGAGAAATAACTCATGGAGTGTGATTGTTCCTCGCTATTGAAAGGATTAAACTATTACTCTTTCGCCAATAGAACCGAATTTTCTGACAACTCCATGATAGAAACCAGTCTCCATTTCTTCTACTGCCGCTAGTAAGCAGAGGATATTTCACCAGGGAGACAGCTTGAATATTTATGAAGTTGCTTACTAAAGCAACTATCTGAAACTTACACCATTCTGGTTGTGCAAGTTTATTCAGTTCTTCATTAATAACCACTGGATCCCTGTATGAGATCCTACAAGTCTAGAGGGGTATTTCCAAGATGAACAATAAATAAGCTATGGAAACATTTTAGACAGCAGACTTCCACTGAGTTGTGATGGAAACATCAGCCTTTAGCTATCTGAATTTTCCAGCTTAAGTATTTTGAAGGTTGTATTCTGTTAATAACCCCAAACTGGCTAAAATAAATGGCTAAAATGAAGCCATTATGCCATTTATTCCATTTCAATAGCCCATGCTTTCAGCAGGAATGCTGCATTATTATTTTAGAAGACTCCCTTGAACGTTGTAGCTTCATAAACAGTAATTTGCTTGGGGTAAAAAAAAATCACCCTGTCATAGGTACTCTTAAACCCCTTGATTTAAGCTCTGGATTATACTTAAGGATGCATTATTCAAACTAATTCACAGAACTTTGGGGTTAAGCACATCAAATGTCAGTTATGGTAAATGTAGCAATACAGCCAGCACACATTTCTCAGTGACTGATGAGTACTTCTCATTTTTAGGATCACATAATCTTCTCACTGCAGTTCAGTGGATTTGAAATCATCCACTAGCATGAGATCAGAATGAGATCCAGCCTCTTCAGAGATGTTGTCCCTTGTCTTTGATCACTGGGTCACAGAACTTCTGTGATGAACAGAAGCAGGAAGTACCTCAGATGGACCCACCGTTAAACTCTCTTGTAAGTTAAACAGGAAAGTGCTCCATCTTTCAGCTGCTAAGCGACAGCGCGTGCCATCTTTTCACCAGCTCCTTGGGTTTACTGATCATCTCATTCCAATGTTCTAGTTCCTTCCCCCGGGTGAACATGAAGGGCCCAACAATCACACAGCCCAGTGAGGAGGTTTCTAAACAAGGTCAGAAAAACCATGAGAATTAAATAATGATAAGGATCAGCATCAGATCTGTACGTACAAAAGTAGTTTGTACGTTCTTGGGTGATCAACATTTCTAACCCAGTTTTCCCTAATTTGGCACTTTCCGGATGGGTTGAGAATACAACTGAGCCCATCTAGGACTACGCACTGGTGAAGGCTGTTGTTCATTTATAAACTGTAGACCCGTGGAACACATTTTTAATCTTTGTTCTCCCAAAGCCAGTATTAATAGTGCCTTTAAACTATTGTTGCCATTTCTGAGTGATGTTTGACATGTGCGGGACAAGCAGAGGTTTTGACTGCTTTCTCCTCTCAGTGGATGATCCTCTTTCAAAATTGATTTGATGGCAACCAAAATACCTGGTTTCTTGACTCAACCTCCAATGGTCATTTCCCTTAAAAAAACCAGAAAGTTAGAAACTTCTCCAAGAGAAGCTAAAATGAGCTCATTCTCCCCCATGTTGGAGGAGGAAGACCAGCAGGTAAAAGTATGACTGTAGGATCCAGGAACAAGGTAAGAAAATACCTAAAGAAACAAGATTGCACTTGCTTGCTGGACACAGATATATCATCCATTTGTACTTTTAAGAGAGTAATAAGAATTATGTAACATTCTTTAGAACAACTCAACCTTATTCTATGCACAATTAACTTGGGGAAAAATTCCCCCAACTCCTTCCAAACTTCTGAATCAGTATGCCAAAGATCAGGCAGCAGAATTTCAGGGTGGATAATCTGTGGCTACTGTTTATTTTTGAACTACGTATTCTGGCATCCTTCACAATAGCTATACAGGCTGAGGGGCTGGAGTGGTCATTTAGGAACATCTGGAAGACCACACATTTCATGTTCCATCTCCTGTATAATAAAAAACAAAGTCTCTACTGTGTTTGAACTTGATACCTGATGGTTCATGGACATGTCCATGTAATTTTCTTGCAACAGTTTAGCAGTGGTTTGTCTTTGAATTCTTCCAGTGCTATTTAAATTAAATTTCCTAGTTCTGAGATTTCCTAATAGTCTCTCATCCAAATACTAACCAGGGCTGATGCTGCTTAGCTTTTTGAGATCATCCCAAATCATCTAATGGTTGCTATGTGCTGTGAGTCATCTATAGTAGCTATAACTCATCTATGGTAGGAATATGAAAGAAGTAATGCACAGGAAGCTGTCTATGGGGGTGGAGCCAGTGTGTTTTGCCACTTGAGGTTAAGCAAAATGGGATCCTTCCTTTTCCAACCCAGAGAAGAAGTTCACAGTACCACAGCATTAGCATCAAGATCCAGATTCTCACAATGGCCTCTTCTCCTTCCT